TTTGGGTGCGTGAAAGAGACGCAATGCTCAAACAATATTATGTCAAACGGCTGACAGTGGGACAGCACGTCATTTGGTGTTAAGAAATGGTTTGGTCAAATCTGCAACGACTAAAAGTGTAGGAATTTGCTGTAACACATATTTATCACAATACTGGTAAGTGCACTCATTTTCTGCTCTCCACTGCTGACTAGAAACATAAAGTTAATTCAAAATAAAAGAACGCTATAAGATAATAAGTGGCAGTTTGTAATGTCATGCACCTAATCGAGTTAACCATTTTATTTACGTAAAAAACGTAAATAAAATGGTTAACTCGATTAGAAAACGTATGTCTTTGTAACGTTATTGCCTCCTAAATCTTAAAAATAACTGGTAGATGTCCGCTTAGCTGTAAACGTTGCTTTATACTCCTAACATTGGCAAGATCTCCAAAAATTCGCTAGTATAAGAATTAACATCATCAGCAGTAAACACTATCTTTTTGGCGCTTCCAAAATATCAAACCTTATCTTGCCTCTGAGATAGTAACTAATAATTATCAATATCATCGTGTCGACTGGCTTTTTGTGGATTTTCAAGTTTATCCAAAACCTTTTCAGTTCCCACACTGTGTAAAACTCTGTTTTCCACCAATCGCTCGCCAAATGAGGCGCCATTGCATGTAAGGCCAAGACAAGATGGGAATCTGTTTTTTGCTGGATTTCAGCTTCTCAATATCCTATTTTGAAAGCTTTTTTGGAACTTTGATCAGAAATACCAAAATCGTTACATTTTGTAACCTCACTATAAAGCTGCAATAAATGCTGTTTACATACGTGAACACTCCAACTGAAACACCAGGCTCGTAGCAAATTTAGCTGAACGAGAAAATTCGAAGGTGAAAAATACTCATGCCACTATCGCAATTTACATTAATAAACTTAAGGTTGCAATGAGTGTGTTATCATCTGTACGATTAATTTTCAAGGTTTAAATTTATTTGCATCTTTGTTTTGCATTTAAGAAATGGTAATTAAGACGCAATCTAAGCTTTTTCAACAGTCTAAAAAGCTACAGGCATTTTTGGATCGAAATCTTTGCACGTTAAATGTAAACCGAAAATTCTTTTGAAAGAGTAAAACACTACTCTTTAAAAACCTCGTATGATCAATTTTTACGCTCCAAATCAAATAAGCTTTACGCAGAAAATGATAGGTGATTGAGGAGATATAAGAGATGGAGTGAGATGGAGGGAAGTTTTCAGCTTATCATACCAATGCTTTAATTTTGTTCACCAAATCTGGTTTGAAACAATGTTCACAAGTGCT